GACCCATTGGTCCAGTTGTGAGGATTATGGTCTTATCGACATTGAATTAGAATCCATACTGAAGGCTACAATCCTTGTTCTTCATCAGCAAGTGCTTCAAGTCCTCCTGACTTTCAGCAAGCAAAGTTGTGTCATCTGCATGTCACAGGTTGTGAATAAGCCTTCCTCCCATCCTGATGCCACACGCTTCTCCATAAATCCAGGTTCTCTGATGACTTGCTCAGCAGACAGATTGGACAAGTAGGGTGAGAGGCTACAACCCCGAGGCAGTCCTTCCCTGCTTTTAAACGATGCCGTATTCCCTTGTTTGGTGCAAGACGCCACAGTCATTCCTTCAAACTTCAGGTCTTGTTGCCTTCCTGGCCTGGAACCTTCTCCCCAGCAACTGGTTTTTTGTTTGTTTGTTTGTTTGTTTGTTTTTGTTGTACTGGCTAGTGGTTTGGGGTGGATGAAGTGTAGAGTTGATGTAACCAGTAAAGGATGAGGACTTAGGCTGGCTTTGGGTTTTGCTTAACTGCCATACATACCTTTATCCATAGGCAACGGAGCGCTATTGAAAGGTCACCCCCACTCAGAGAGCCCTCCCTGACCACCTAGAATTAACCACCCACTGCTGGGGAGTCTCATGGTAGTCCGTGCGAGCCAGAGAAGCACTCTGCTCCACGGGGTTTCCAGTGGTTGAGCTGGTCGACTTCCAAGACTACCAAGGCTCCTTTCACGGACACGGCCTACAGACCTCCCGGTTGGCCATCCAGCACGTGAGCCATCTGCACCACAATCGGCTGTCACTATTAGGCCTCAGGATATGTGGCCCAATCCTGTGTCACCTTCATGGCGGTCGCTATGTTTTTTGTTTCTTTTTCTCCGAACGTATACGTGATTTTTCCTGCGATAGCTATGATTTGAGTCCGTTGTAGTGAGTAGCGATTGTGCCAATTCAGCTTCCCTTATATACCACAGGAGCCCGCCTTTGTCACCTGTCATCATTGCCTTTGTCTTTAACAAATTATTTGTACATTTCCTTCCCCCCCACCACCACAAAGGTCGGGAGAAAGAACGTCGTCTTGCAAATTCCCTGGCCTATCCAGAGTCTACGAAGTTTGAATGGATGGATGAAAAGATGAATAGGCCTGCGGTTTGCTTACAAGGCACCGTCCAGAAGGTTTAAGACATCCCTGAGAATGGCGATACCGGGAGGGTGGAGGGAAGGTGGGGTAGAAAGGGGGAACCCATGACAAGGATCTACAGATAACCTCCTCCCTGGGGGGCAGACAACAGAAAAGTGGGTGAAGGGAGATGTCGGTCAATGACAAAATAATAATAATTTATAAATGACCAAGGGTTCATGAGGAAAGGGAGCAGGGAGGGAGAGGGAAAAAATGAGCTGATACCAAGGGTTCAAGTAGAAAGCAAATGTTTTGAGAGTGATGATGGCAACAAAGGTACAAATGTGCTTGGCACAATGGATGGATGGATTGTGATAAGAATTGTACGAGCCCCCAATAAAATGATTTTTAAAAATAAAGGTTGTCCATAGCAGAACTGTCCACTAAGGTGTTCCCAACGTGCAGAGCCTCTGTCCTTAACAGGGCGGACAGGAGGACCAGCCCTGAGCTGCCAAAGGGGTGCAGTCGGTCTGTTCTGAGGCTGTCAAACAGGCTTGTCCTGCAGGGCCCCAGGTAAGTCCCAAAAGGTGGGCAGCCTTCCCACCTCCTCCCTGGGGTGGCCTGGGCGCAGGCGAGCCAGCTGGGGTGAGGTGTGGGAAACGGGCGCTCGGCCCCGCGCTGTTACAGGCGTCTGCGCCTGGCAACCCCAAACCACCTCCGCCAGCACTTCTCCACGCCGCCCCTAATCTCCTAAACTGCCTTGTCAGCAGCAGGAAGTGACAGGGCAGCTTGCCTCACAAACGGGAAACTCCTTCGCGTTGCCATGAGGACAGAGGCCGTTTGATCACAGACTTATATAACCTTAAAGGCATACAGCCCACGAGGTTATTCCCCGATGGGGGCTGGGGGGCGGGTCGCTCAGGCGCGCAGGAAGCTGTGTCCCAGGCAAATTAGCTACAATTTGCAAAATTCCAGGGAAAGAGGAGGAGGCGGTGGAGGCTTTGGGAACTGCAAGTATCCTGATGAAATACGGGAACCTCCAGACCACAGGACGAGCGGAGTACACGGTGATGAAGTGTCTACCAAGCTCACAGCCCCGGAGTGGAGTCTGATTCCGACTCAAACTGGGATAGTCACTTGCCCTGCTGCCGAGCTCGGTTTGAACCCACCTGCGGGCCAGGGATTGAAAAACAAGACGATCCGGATCTGATGACAACCTAGAAACATTTATAGGGCAGCCCGCCCCATGGGGTCACAATGAAACCGAATCAATTGACTAATTAGGTGACTTTTGAACGGCCTCCAACCCCACGGCCACCCCACCCCCGAGATTTTGAGGGCAAAAATAACTTGCCAGTTAGATTCAACGCAAAACGGTCATTTTACAAGAAGGCAAGCTGAGGCCAACGGACTCGCAGAAGGAGGTCTAAATGATTCGCCAGGACTGCTGGCAGGTTAGGTTATGCACTAAATACATTAGGCACGAGTTTACATATACGTGCTTTTGGGGGTTTCTTAAAATCATTTTATTGGGGGCTCATACAACTCGTCACCATCCATCCATTGTGTCAAGCACATTTGTATCTTTGTTGCCATCATCATTCTCAAAACATTTGCTTTCTGCTTGAGCCCTTGGTATCAGCTCATTTTTCCCCTCTCTCCCCACTCTCTTTCCTCATGAACCCTTGGTAATTTATAAATTATTATTTTGTCATGTCTTACATTGACTGACGTCTCCCCTCACCCACTTTTCTGTTGTCTGTACCCCAGGGAGGAGGTTATATGTAGATCCTTGTGATCAGTTCCCCCTTCCCACCCCACCTCCCCTCCACCCTACCGGTATTGCCACTGTCACCACTGCTCCTGAGGGGTTCATCTGTGTGTGTTTACATACAAAACTGTAGTGAATGAAACTGCCCGGAACTTCACATTCACAAGCCCATTTCTTCCTCACAAATGAAGCCGTTTTTTATAATCTTCAGCTTATAAATGAGGAAACAGAGTCCCCAAAGGGATAATTAGCTTTTCTACCCAAAAAGGACATGGCAAAGTGGTCAGCTCCAAAGCTCATCTGCTCCCCACCCCTTCAAGCTGCCCAAACAGCCCGGTCTTCATAGACCTGGGTCCCCATGTCTGCCATGCTGTCCCCTTACTGTGTGACCGTAAGCAGGTCACCTCTCGGAGCCTCCACTGTTTCCTCTCTACAATGGAGATCGTAACTACTCCCCTGCGGTCGTTGTCAAGCACTGAATGTGTCAAACACACAGCACAGTGACTATTCGGACCAGATTATCAGTATTTTTTTTTAGATTATCAGTATTAAACAATCATTGTTTTGATTTCAATTTCCCTCTGGAAACATCCTTAAATGTGATTTAAGCACGAGGTAGTTTTGTTCTTTTAAGAAAAAGCCATCTGGGGCCAAAGGTGACATTTTCTGGAGGGTCTGCACAACATGAAGTCAATCTCTAGGGGAAGGGATTTATGGTCCTGACTCGCGACCGTCGGGAGGTGGGGTTGCTGCTCTGGGAGAAGTGAAGGACTTGTTTGTACTGGAGGCTCCCTGAGGCGGCTGCTGTAGTTTTCCACTGCAGGCCTCAGAGTAGATAGTAATTTTGGTTCAGCGAGTGCCTGCCAAGCAGAAAGTGATGGCCAGAGCCCACAGGGACGTCAGTCATGGCATATGCCACAGGCTCGGAGTCGTTGATACATTTCCAGAAGTGAGATAGTTGCAAGAATCCATTTTTAGGGTTTAATTTTTAAAAAGCAACAACAAAAACATTGGGTACAGTTTGTTTTTGAAAGCAACACTGGCTTGCAATCGGAAACCCAGTAGAGGAACTGATCTTGCCAGCCCAGAGTAAGTTCTTAGAACATAAGGATATTTCAGGCCCTTGGAGTCGGGTAGCAGGTGGAACTCGTAGGGAAAGGTCAAGGACATGGATCCTGTGTCAAGGCCTCCAACTATGGCACAGGGCGCCCCAGGTGAGGTTCAGTGGGATATTTGCTTTTCTGCTTCCACAGCACTTTGCCCAGCAGCAAGTTGAAACAGTAACCCAAGAGCTTGACCATGGGTAAATTCAACACTTGACAGATGGGCTGCTAGTCATTTTCACCTGCTCTACATTAGCCTGTTTAGCGAGAGTTAAAATTCTGATGGCCCGGGGGCAAGTCAGACTTCATTGCCCATCTTCAACAAAATTACAAAACTAGAACAGCAAGCGGCCTAAGGCAGGCAGTCTGCTCTGGATGCTCAGGGAGGATGATGGCAGATGTGGGAAACGTCCCTAATAGTTCAGATGATTTGTCTAGATTGTATTTTACAGTGCTTGAAGAACCTAACCATTCAACAGTTCCCCACCCCAAATCTGTCCAAAAGCAGAGAGGCTGTGTGAGAAGCCGAGGGTGAAGTGCAAATCCAGTGTCCCTGCCACGGAGCCACTCTTGGTCTCAATGTGTTCCTGGCAGAGTCTGGCCGAGCTTTGTGAAGATGCACTGCCCCGCACATACTTGGAACATCCTTACGGGTCAAATGTTTTGGAGAACTTTACCATCGTAGCTCTAAGGCAGCTCAGTAGGGAAACAGCCGTTTTCTTTCCTACTGTAACAGGAGACCCAATCAATTGACTATCTCTCTCTAGCATTGGTTTTGGGGACATTTGGGCCCTGAGTAACACAGGAGGCGTGCGACAGCATCTAGCTGCTCACAACACAGCTCACTTGCCTACCTACACCCAGCTATCTTTTGGGACAGAGGGGACTCAAGAGTATAGGGTCAAACCCCAATGCACACATACTGTAGGTCCGTATCCAAATTCTCCCCTTTCACTGGAGGAAAGGGGAGGGGAAGAGGAGAGGGATGGGGCAGGCTGCCAAAGAAATCAAACATTGAGATTCAATAGAAATAGTATAATTTATTCTGTTGTATAAAAAAGGTCATTCTTATGTAATAAAATGTCTTCTTAGAAGAAGAAATATATTATTTCAGGTCATAAATAATCAGCAAACATACAACTGTTGGCAACTAAAAAAACGAAACAGAACAACACTGATGTTTCCTATCAGTGACGAAAACAAACCTGCTTCGGATCTATTTACAGGATGTTACAGTACTTAGAACACAAAAATTGAGGTATTTGGTTTCTCTAAGAGTAGACGCTGACATTGTGAAGGCAGATCACCTACACAAAAATAAATAAGGTATATTCTCATGTGTATATGTGTCGTCAGGAATGGTAATACTGGTTAGGTATGTCAAGCATGAAGAGTGGCTACAAAAGAAAAAAAACAGGGACAAGCAAAAAGAAACCGGCTCGTGTACAGTCCTTTCTCTTCTGTCCCTTTGTGTCAGAGGGATTGATGTACCCACAGTAGATTGGCCCTGAATTCGCTGAGGTCAGTAATGGCCTTGCCTCGAAGTCATCACCCTTGTGGCTGTTTAGGAACCCAGTGGAAGCCAGTCGAGTGAAATTAAATAAATAGGGGCCAGCCCTCCCAAGTCCCCTTCCTGGAGGAGTTAGTGCCTTTCTTCCTCTGCCTGGAGGACAGCCGGGTGTCCTGGGATCACCTCCCGTGGCTTTTCAGCAGCTGGGAGAGGTCGTGATGGGGCTCTGTAGGTAGCTCAAGGCACTGTTCGTGGAGTGGACAGGGATGGAGACGGGGAAGTTGAAGACAGTGGTGGTGGAGGTGCCTCGGTCGAGCACAGCCATGGCAGGGCTCCCAGCCTCAGCCGAGCAGTGTGGGGCCAGGACTTGGGATTCGAATTGCAACAGCTGGCCCATGAAGCTGAAGTTAGGGGAGATGATGCTCCTCCGCTGCTTCACAAACTCAAAGGCCTCGTCCAGCTTGACTCGGTTAGTCCTCATGAGGTAAGCCAGGCAGATGGTCGCTGACCGGGAAATGCCTGCCTGGCAGTGGACGAACACCCTTCCGCCAGCGTTCTTGATGGAATCTGGGAGACAAGAGGGTAGCCGGTTACTCAAGAGTTCATAGAACAAGCCTGTGTCATGCAAATGTTGCCCAGAGATGCTCAATGATGCTGCATGCCATCACATGGACACTGCTCTTGAAGGCAGTGTGGGTCCTATGCAAATGCGACCCAGCCTGGCCACTACAGCTGGTCCAGACTGACCTCAGGCAAGTCAAACACTCTGAGCCTCAGTGTACTACTACTACTCTGGAAACTGAGAATCCAAATCCCTGATTTTGCAGGGATGGTGCCCACACACTGATACTTCAATGTCTGGACACAGGGCTCAGAAGAACCTCATTCAAATCCTTGCAGGGGTGAGGGGAAGCTCAGTGGCTCAAAGTGCAGTGGGTGGGGAGGAGAAGCTCTGTGGCTGAAAGCAGAGAGAAGGCAAGGCAGCGGTCCCAGGCTTCCACTCCATTTACCTATGAAGTCGATGGCCTCGTTGAACCAGGAGCTGATGTCCGCCTTGTGGTTGTCCTCCACCGGGATGCTCTTATATTGGTAGTGGCCCTCGAAATGGTTAGGACAATTGGCGGAGACATTGATCAAGGCAGTGATGCCCAAGGCATCCAGCATGTCCTTGCGGGAGGCGTGATAGGCGCTGCCCAGGTACAGGAAGGGCAGGATCTCCACTGGGCCACCCTGGAACGCAGGAATATCCAACTGCTCGTCAAGTTTGCCCCATCGACACCAGTACTCACACCCACCAAAACTCCCTGCCAAAAAAGTTCACCTCAAATACTAGGTGAATTCGGCACTGTGGTTCAGGGGGCTAGCAAATGGAAGATAAGCCTCCTTTACCACCACCAGGCAGGGCTAACAAGACCCTTTCTATGGTGCCAGCAACTAGAGACTGCGGCATCAGACCCCAAAATAGTACTCCTATGCCCCTTCAAACAAAGCTGCCGATCACCTCCTGCATTTACACTGGCACTGCTATTCCAGGCCATTCCCAGTTGTGACTTCCCCCCTCTGGCCCAGGCCCCAACTAACCTGATCGTAGAGCGGGGTGCTGCAAGAACTGCACCCTGAATCAGCGCTGTCAGGCACACTAGTACTCAGAGGGAGGCTGAGCCCCATGGGGGTCGGCTGTTTGCTGCACAGCTCCGGGCAGGAAGCCGAGAATGCTTCATATCCTCCTGTAAATGCAAAGACAACGGGTTTTTTTTTCTATTAGTGCCGCTGGTAGAAGGCACCTTCATACAACGCCCCCCACCCACTAGGGCTGGAAGTTTACGTGGGAGAGGCCCAAGTCTTTGTTCCTAGGGCCAAACAAAGCCAATGCCAAGTCCCGGGAGATGCGAATCCAGCGCGAGGGGAGGGCTCCAGGTGGAGCAGCCCCCTGGGAGCGGCGGACCGCAGGTCCCGGCAGGGCCACAAGGACGCACCTTGGAGGAAGAAGACTTGTGTGGCTCGCGCCTCCCGGCAGAGCGCGCCCGCGGCCAGGGCCACGGTGCTGTCGCGCTTGGCGCAGTCCAGGGCGGCACTGCGCTCGTCCAGCAGCACCACGGCGTGGTAGGCGCCGGCCAGCAGGCGGCCCCGCAGCTCCGAGTTGGGCACGATGTGCTCCAGGCCCATGGCGCCCTTGGCCCGGCGCCGCACGATGGTGCTGAAGCGCACGTTGACCGAGCCGGCAACGTGGCCGGCGTTGAAAGCAAAGAACGAGCGGCAGTCGAGCAGCAGGCAGTGCGCCGCGCGCTCCCGCAGCAGCGTCCGCAGGCTTCCGGCGTCCAGGGAGCCCACTTCCATGACCATGGCCTGTCCCAGAGCCCCCAGGGTGTAGCTCCGTCCGGTGCTCTTTGTCCTCCGAAGCCAAGGGCGGGGGCGAGGGCTTTCGAGGAAAACCCCGGCCCGGGGTCTGTTTGCGTCGAACCAAAAACTGCCTTTGTACTGAGCTGGCGGACGTCGGGCGGGACCTCTGGGCGGTCCAAGCTCCTAGCCGCTGTCCCCTGGGCTCTTGCAGGCCGCTCCGCCGCTCTAGTCCCAACGTCCTTCGCAGCGAGCCGAGCCCAGCGGAGCGGGCTTATAAGAGTCTCTCTGGGGGCGGGGCGGGGCGGGGCGCGGGAAGAGGGAGGGCGCTGGTTTGTTTGAATGGCAGTCACGTGACGGGCCGGTGACGTCACCCCCGGCCCGGCCGGGCCCGGCGCCGCCGCAGCCAACGGCGAAGACGTCATCGGCCCCGGAGCGAAGGCGAGTGTGCTCGCGGCGCGCTGGCTCCAGCGCTGTCCCGCCGGCCGGCCTGCGCCCGGCGCGTCCCGGGGGACCTGGCCCGCTCTCCCGGCGCAGGGGCGGCGGGGGGCTCGCTGCCAGCCGTGAGCCGCCCTCCCGGAGGCCGCGGCCCGGAGGGCGGGCCAGGTGCGGCCTGCGCTCCTTACCCGCGAGTCCCCCGCGCCCCTTTCCCGTCGCTCTCCGGCGGGAGACCGAGGCCCCTAGGAGGAACGATTTGCTTGCTCAGCGTCATCAGCTAGGAAATCGTGAACCCGGACGCGGGGTGCGGGGTGGGCGACTGGGGCCCGAGGGAAGGTTTGGAGAGGAAAATAGCAGTTTTGTCCACCCCAAGTACTCCTAGGAGGGGGCGGGGAAGTCGTTTTCTATGCTTCCAACTTTCTCGAATCCTGTTGCTTAAAAAAAAAAGACTTAACAAAGAAAAATCACTCTCGGTAACCCGCCAAAAAATCAAATGTCATTCCTAGTCACACATCACTAGAACACTGCCGAGGGAGGCAGGGCAAGGGACTGAAATCTGAGTCGGGGGTCGCGAGGACACTGCTTAGATTTCGGGGTTTGGCTTGGGCGGGGGGCGGGGGGCGGCACCCAGCACGGCTCGACAGCGCCCCCAGGGGCCGATCGACTCATTTCTCGTCGCTTGCTCAAGACCTTGAGTTTCTCCATCCCTCTATTCCTCAAACGTGGACGGCCGCTTTGGGCTGGGCCCGGAGACAGGGGAAACAAGCACGAGCCCACCCCCACGCTCCAGTTCCCGCCCTCTTGTCTGAACTCGAAATCCAATGCTTTGGGTGTCTCAGGGCTGGACCCCCACCCCCACTCCAACACTTAGGGTGACCTGTGCCGTTACTGCTCCCCAGCACTGGGTACACAAAACATTGCGCCACCTGGCCGGGTGCCCAATCGGGAACGTTCTTGGGCTTCTTCCCTTCCGGTAAGGGGGATTTCGTCCGCCTCCCAGTGGTGGTGGTCTGGTGGATGGGATCACCAGAGGCGACTTCTGCATTTGCCGGGCTCCGCCCTCCCCACATCCTCAAATGTCTGCCCCAGGTTGTTCTTCTAGGGCAGTGAGTGGTTTTTTTCTTATATTCTATCTTTCTTTTTAATGGAAGTTTTCCTTTTCTTCAAATGGCTGAGGACAGCAAAGACAACTCAGATAATGGCAATGCTGCCCCTCCCTGTAGCTTTAGGGGAAACTTTTTAAGAGAAGCGAGGATGAAAAAATGCTTTATTTGTTTATACTACTTATTCAGCTGAGGAACTCAACATATTTTATGCATTGAATCATCGAATGTTACCGCTGCTGACTTTTCACTGCGAACCAACATGGTCTGCCTTCTTTTTCTTCTTTTTTCCTGTCACCATTCACTCTACCCACCCCTTCTCCAGTTCTTAACCATGTTTCATACGAATGTGACTATGGAATCGGCGCAGTGCAGCTGGGGACTTGGGTGTCTGCTGACCTCACTGGGTTCCCCTCTCGCCCTGTGCTGGAAAGAGCACAGAGAAGTCTGCTTGGGCCCTGCATGGTCCTGTTGAGGCTGGCAGGGGCTGTTCCAGCCTCTGAGCTCACATCTGTGTAATAGGTGGGGAACGGCCTACTTTGTGGCTGCTTTGAGACCCAAGAGAGAGACAGGGATCCCAGGCCTGACTCCAGTCCTCATGGTGATTTGCCCCACCTCCTGGTCGTCCCCTTTCCAACAGAGCAGTTCCCTGTGGGACACCAGAATCTGAAGAGAAGGTCCGGAGAAGCCAGGAGATGGGACTGGGGCAGAGGCATCCGCCCCCCACCACACCCCCAGTTCAAGGAAAGGCCATTCTTCCTTCAGTGAACACCCATGGCTTAGGGCACTGTGTGTGCTGGTCACCTGCCCAGAGACCGTTGGTAGATGTATAGCCAACAGAACACATACCCCGGCAGGTGAGAGGATACTGCTTCAGATAGGGATGTCGCCAAATGGAAGCCGGGCATCATCTGGTCTATTATGACCACAGAAGGGGCAGGGGCTGGATCCATGGGCCTTTCCGGCTAAGGGGCCCAGTGGAGAACAACTCAGTGATGTTGACTTGGGGAAAAGATGTGAGCCTTTGACTTGGCCTCGGCCCGATTCTAGGTGTGCTTAGAAATACAGACTTT